GGGTATCTCGGGTTGTCGCTGGTTACAAGCAAGTGTTTCAAACAGCCTCTGACGAGAAAGCCCTGTTCGGCGCCTTCTCATGGTGGGTGTTTTCTCAACAAAATGAGTGGACGAAAAGCCATTATCCGGGACTGTAACCGGGTTAGTGAACCTTTGGCAGTTCACCTAGGGCGGGAAGCAAAAAACCCTGATTCCAAACCAAAAGAGAAGTACTATAAAAAAAACACCTTCCTGGTTGTGACTGTGCTCACTGGCTCGATTGAGTATCGAGGTATTGGGCACCTTGGATGTTTTGTCCCGTCCGAAGAGTGCAAGACCCAGCCCCCAATAGGTTGTGGTTTTCGCACACCGTCCCGCTGCCTTATGGGTCAGACTTTAGCTGGCCGGAAGTTCCGGTTATGAATTCCCCGGGAACACTCACCTGTCTTGGCCTAGGCAACCTGGCAGTATTCCACCCGCATACCAATCATGGGACTCTCATTTGATATTATTGTCCTATGATATGATATTATATATATGCCTCTGTTAGGTATACAGCAAATGATGTTGTAACCCACCGCGTTATCAGATGTCACGGCTGATGGCCCACGACCGATGGAACAGTGTCCATTGACACGAAGTTAATCACCTAACTGGTCATTCAATCAACCAAGATCATCGGCGTCCGCCCGTGATATTATGCGGTCTTCAGGACGAATCCGACGTAGCAATCACAATAAAACAATCAGTATTCTTAAACGAGCATTGGTAAGAGAGAAAGTCGACACTGTCCAGTAAGGAATAACATATCCACTGATTAGAAAGAATCCTATACCACAAAAAACTATTTTCAATGAAAAGAGTATTACTACCATAGCTATTCGTGCTACTCTATCATCCCTCGAGAACTTCTCGTCTAAGAGTTGTACTGGCATTTACTTAATGCACCTCTTGTTTCGTTCTCATCCCTGTGTTGGAATGCCAATCTATTACTTTCAACCTAATTGCCAGTGTCATTGCTGATGGGTCTGAAAAACTGCAGTGTTACGGGTGTATAAGTTGACTTTTATTGTTGATGATGACGATGTGTCAGCTCTCCTAAAGATCAACCTCCGCAGCTTCGACGCAAACACACACAGAGAACGATTCTTATTTGTGGTGATGTATGAAATTCATCGCGCGTGTTCCTGTCTCCGCAAATACCAGTCAAGAATGTCAATATGTTTGTGGGAAATTGTTGTCCTACAAGTATTTTGTACGGCCAACACCAGTGGTTAGGTCGCAGTGTCCGAGGGAACACATTAACTAATGTACGCACACAATCCGTGGATTATTCGGTATGCAGGGGGATACGTATGAGAGAAAATCCATCAACACATGCACACACAGGCGCACGCGAAAGGATAAAGGAGTGCCTACAGTCAATTCTTGACGGGAACAGATCACACATAATGACCAAATAAATTCGTTATCCGATGAAGGATGGACAGAGGAATGACGAAGGAGGCAGGAAACAAAAAGCGGCATTTGCTTTGGAACAAGATCAACTATCAGTCGATCCGGTTAGATTGAGCAGGCGCAACAAACATTGTCCGCTAGTATTTCATTACTATACCCACAGTAGACATCACTGAGGAGCTACCTTCTTGCTGCGGATATGCCGAAAAATTGGAAGTTGGAGTTGAGGTAATTTTTAGCTCAACCATCCGCACATCAACAGACAAACGCAAACTTACATACATACTTATATACATACACATCCGCGTGCACACATGGTCACTCACCTTTTACCAGCTTTTAACTGGTTGAGTACGTATTGCAATATACCGGCCAAATCGAACTGATACTTTTTACATAGCAGACCGGTGAAAGTGGACAAGGCTGAAAAAGTATGTCAAATGAAATAGGATGTTTAGAAGAGAACGTAAGCCGCGGAGAGATACATCAAAAATCAACTTAGACGATGTGCAGTACGACTTCGGATAGGGAGACACGAAGAAAACTGATCAAAGCATATAAACAACAATGAAAAGTAAGCAGAGATGGAGAGTGGTTGGCGGCTTCGTCTTTCCAGTTGACCTAGACAAAAAAAATGCTCCCTGGCTTTCGCTATCTTTTGTGAGCTGGAACGCAGGGAGAGAGGGAGGTTGATTTTTGGGTTGTATCGATTGAGGCGTCTTAAGAAATAGGCTCAGCCGAAATGGTCAGCCGGGGTTTCGAGAAACACATGAATAGACTGATAGCTCAGTTCAGTGTATCGGAATGCAGAGTGAACGGACACACGTGAAAATGATCACTTGCAAACATTGTGGGAGAACGCTGTACTCGGACTGTGTACGAAGCCATGGATAGGGGCAATAAGGATGAAGTGATGATGTGAAAGAAACGAGGCATGAATGGGATCAAGAAATACTGCTTAATGAAGATCTCACCCAGAGAGAGAGAGAGTGAGGGAAGAGAAGAAGGAATGGGAACTAGAATAAAGCCAAGTGATACGCAAATCATAGACGTTGATTTATGCATGTGTGTAAGTGGGAGACTCAGTTGAATGGACAAAAGTTAATCAAACTCAGATCGAGCGAACGACGTGTAAATGTGTGTGTATGTATACATATATCGATATTTAAGGATGAATAAGAAGTAGAGAAAGGGTTAATGAATGAAAAACACTCCGAATAAATAACAAAAGGTCCTCCTCATTGACAAGCCGAAGGTAATACGACAAAACTGATTAATATTCATGATTATAAAAGTTTAATAATGACCAGTATTGCATCCAGTATATAACGTCTCTTTACGTCACTGCACAATTAGATTGAACCTAAAAATCGTCAACTTAGCATCTCGATCAATAGGAAGGCGGAACTGTACTCATGAGAATGAGAATGATAATCTATCTGGACTTCAAGATATGATCTTCTCAAATGATTTTTCCGTTTTTTTTCAATCCCAATAATTCTTCCAGATGCGAACATCTCACCGGTTACCTTAATTTCTGTTGCCCTAGCGGGACCATATATATGCGTACTGACAGATTTTAATCGCCTCTTCTGAAACATCGACGTGATAAGCAGTAGGCATATATGAATGGCAGGCGGTGCGATGTTGAACGATTATCAATTCTCATCAAAGCAGAGATTCACCGCTTGAATCGGATGTATGTCAAGAACATTCTTGGCAACCACAGCTGTCACGTAATGTGGTCGGTGTTGAAGCAACTCTGTGTCACACGTGGGAGCTACTGTCCTGACGTAGAAGTACCAAATCGACAATTTCCTGCCCCCTCTGATTCCAATTCTCTATCACCCGTTTTCGATTCCCCTGAAAACACCAACCCTCTTTCTCCGACTTAGGTTCTCAAAGTTTCCAAGCAACTTAAGTCTGACAAGGCCCACGGACCGGACTCATTAGCCCCTATTTTATTGAAAACCTGTGGCGAACAACTTGCAACACCCATCGCAGAGTTGTTCAACTTGTGTATGTCCTCTGCAACAATCCCGGACTGCTGGACGACTGTCCGGGTAAGACAGAGTCCCAAGAAGGGTTCGTCAAAATGTCGACTGTTTGCCTGTCCTCAGTCCCGTTAAAAGTCTTTGAAAGAGNCCGGTTGACTATATGGCTAAACATATGACTGCCCTCACTGACGCCTTCAATCCTCTTCAGTTTACTTTTTAAAAAAATCCTTTTTGACTGTTGACGCCGTCACGTGTGTTGTCCATTCTTTGACCTCAGTTTTGGATGAGAGTGCTGGAACTGTTTGCCTAATTTTTCTCGATTATCCCAATGCCTTTGGTTCGCTTGACGGTCCCATTCTCATTCAACGTCTTGCTCACCGAGACTTAACATCCGACGTGTTAAAAATTCTTGGAAACTACTTCTCTTTTGGGACGCAATTTACCTTAAGCAATGTTAAGACTTCGTCAACTTCTAATGTTAACTCTGGTATCTTTCGGGGCACCATTTTGTCTCCCTTCTTTTTCCCTGTCTATAAACAACCTGTCTGTCCCTACCAACTTTATTGTCTGTATGCTGACGATGGGGTGATTGGGGGCCCCTCCAATAACGATGTACCTTTCCACCAACTTCAAGGCAGTCTGAACGACATTTTAGTTGGTCCCTGTTGTATCTCTTATGCTTAATGTTTCCAACCTTAAATCCGGCTCCCATTATCTAACTACTTTTGATGATTGACGCGACCTCATCGTTAATATGCGCAACATTCTTGCCCGCTTTTTAGTGAATCGGGCACTAATTGGTACAGGTCAGGTGGAACAGCTCATGAGCTAGTTTATTTATTTATTTTTAATCTATCACTGTCGTGTTCTTGTTAGCAATGTGCTGTCGTTCTTGCTTATCCTATTCACACTCTGATGAAATTTCTCTCCAACACCACTCTTTCACTGTATTGTCATAGAAACTCGGTGCAAAAAGCTTAGTTTGACTTGAATGGATCAGAATGACAGCAGGTGGTCAGTTATGACTAAGTGTGGGATGGGTATCGCGACAGAAGTTTGTTTGGGCCTAGGAATAATACTTGTGAGAACGGACGAAAGAAATTCACATTGAAGAAAGCAGACGGCCCACTTCACACAAACACACATATATAGGGATAACGGCGATTCTCGTGTCCTCGAAATGCTAGAAAACGGCTAGGGATCTACATGGTCGCAAAGCAGAACACCGAATGAGAAGCGCGAAAGTCGGAAGGCCGGTGCAAGAAGTCATTATTTTACAACAGCTGAGGTGATGACGACGACGACAACACCAACAGAAGAAAAAAAGAAAATAATCATGCTCACAAACCGTGCAAGACTCACAACACGGGGTTCGCTCACCTTGTAAACCCTGACTGAACTGAACATCCTCCAATTTCGATTCGTCCGAAACAAGCGCTTCTATGATACAAACTGGGGGTGAAGTGGAGATAGGATCCAAACGTGTATATGGCAAACAGTCAGTATACTGCTACTGATTCACATAAACCGAACGAAGTTAGACAATTCTGTCTAACAGAATCTGGATGGTTCAGTAAGTGCATGCGTGATCCCGCAACCCGTGGACTAGTCAGGGTGTCAACAGTAAGGTAAAACATTATTTAGAGCCAATAATCTATGATAAAACAGTATTTAACCAGCTCGTATCCTCTACCCTAATCAAATCAATGAGTAAGCTCAGAAAGGAACACTTATGCAGTTACATGCAGCTACATGCATCTATGGTCTCATTCGCACATTCATTCCCTTTCCTTTCTTTAACATCAATCCCCTCTCCCTTCCTGACTCATCGAAATACCGGGTCCTTTCCTCTCACTTATTTTTCTGGCCCCGTTTCACCACCTAATTCCAGAAGCATCTTTTGACGTTTCAAATCAGACAACTGGGACGGTTCTCATGACCTTCTGGCTTGTCATCTCTNNNNGTCATCTCTAGAATGAGAGTTGTTTCGATTCCGCTTCTGTTTCCAACTTCACTCAGATTGTTCTTCAAGGCATGTATCCTAGCATTCCACAGTTTTGCAAACTTGTTATCGCATAGACTGATCATAATCTTCTCAAACAATATTCCATCAAACGTCCCCATGTGGCGTGGTAACCCCATTCGATTCAACTGAAATGCGGATATCTGTTAAACCCTTATTCGCGTAAACTGGCTTCCGCCATTTCCACCAGTGTCCAACATCGAGGAACCACCACGGGAAGAGATTCCCATGAGCAACCAAATAGGACTCAACGGATAAAGTAAGAACAAAAGAGGTCTGGATAATGACGTAGCACAAATGACAGTGAACCGACAACAGTGTATCGATACGGCAGTCGTCGTGTACATCCACATTCTGAGAATTTACGTAGTGAAACGAGGAGGGTGCGTGCTTCACACACGGTTTTATTTTGTTTTGTTCTTTTCTCCCCCTAAATCGGTTCGAATCGTATGGCTAATCGGATTTCACAGTGACCAAGGTAAAAACAGACAGAACCGTTTGTGGTAGTACATGCTAAAGCAGGTGTTTTGGAACGCAATGTCACATATGCCAAATATGGTAGAATTCAAGTGAATGAATCTTCGAAAAGTACCACAGAGTAATAATCAATCGAGACAGAAAAATTACACAATTGGTACACTCACATGTGAGAATATCATAGCCCAAACTGCTGACATATTTCAATGCTTCCACCACCGGACCAATAATGTTAGTATACAACTGCACCGTGTTCAAGAGCTGATTTGGGAATGGGAAAGGGACGGAAGAGAACTCAGTGTGCATTCCAACAATACAGTTAAATTGACTCATAGTACAGCCCGGATGATGGGAGGAAAGTCAACCGATCCACATCGAGCAGAACAGACAATGAGCAATAATACCGTAGAACAGAATGTTAGAATTGGAAAAGAGGACTAGAGCTACATTGAATGGGGGTGAACCGGATGCAGGTGACGGCACCCAGTGACGATGAGGAGTGCGACAAAATGCTCAAGTGATGGCAAACTGTTTTAGACCATGCAATATTCCGAGTTATCGTTTTTTATCCCACGGAATTCCACCAGATATCTCGAAGAAAACATGCGGCCGCTTGAAACTAAAGTATATTTCTGGTAACCTGACGGTAACCGGGGAGTTTCAATAATAAGTCCAACGAACATACCGCTCGCTGGTGTGACAAAGAACTCGGGTGCTTGTGAACCGACCAACCAGTGTCAGTCAACATTGAAAGTGCCGAAAACTTCTAACTGGGACGGTGATAGCATCTGTTGTAGCCCAAAGACAAGATAGTAAAACAACAAATGCTAACCAGTAGGCAAACTTTCAACGGTTTGAATTTGACGTATCACGGGAACTATGTCGGGTACGTATTACACAGTGCCTGATGTTTAACGGCTCCGGAAAGGATTTTATTTGTTTGGATCAGCATAAATAACGACTACTAGATTAATGATTGAATAAACGTAGTACAAATGAAATATCAAGTCGAAATTTCCAATCACGAGACATGGAACACGGGGTTCGGAACGGTGACCTACAAGATCGAATAGAAGACCAGGATTGCTGTGGGAAAGTTTTCCAAGCTGTCGACCCATTGGTTTGATATTCTCCTTACTCAGGCGTCTACAATTGAAAACACAGAGATTTAGAAATCAGTCATGATATGCACACACACTAAAGCCACTCTTTGATGGTTAAAACAGCACGAATATGTTCAGTAAATGTGACACTGAGAATATAGGATAGTCTTATCGCACGCCACTGGAGAGTGATGAGAGCTGGTCATAAATCCTAACTAGACCTACGGTATGACGATACAAATCTTTGAAGATAGACAAATACTTCTCAGGTACTCTATTTCTAAACAAACAGTTCCATACTGCGGTTCTATCGATGGAATCGAAGACTGCACAAATGTCCAAGAACACAATGATGATTGTAAGTGTAGGTTCGAACTTCAACGAGGCACCCGGGCATTTGGCTACGGAAGTACCAAACAGCGAAGTTTAAATGAAGAAAAAAGAACTATCAATTATTTTAGAGACTAATCAGTTCTGGGTGGGGTCAAGCTATCCTTCATAAAATTGGAAGCAACTTATTGTCGTTTCTCTTGTTTGAGCAGTTCCGTGGGCGTGAGTTTTCTGAAAGTTCAACAATCTCTCTGTCAACACTGGCTAAACAATTCATCATTCTGAAAAGACAAGGTGTTCGAAGATACTGCCTGAATGCTCCAGTACAAAATAGAATGCATAAAATGCAATAGAACTGACTTGAGGATAGCTTTTGTGCACACGGTTACATGCGCTCGTCGGCGAATCACGGACGGTTCGTTTTGATACGTCGTATGCTTCCACTGTCCATACAATCGGTACCTGAAGTATATTACAGGAGACAGGGGAAGGAGTGGGCAGAAGCGATAGGCGTGCATGCAAACAATGAGATAGAGGGAATAATGTGGCCATTCGTGATTGAATTGATCCGTCGTTTATAAGATTTGCTGTCACGCGGACAACGGGGCAGGGGGAAAACTGTCACACTAAAGTTACAGTCACATGGGAAGTGGAATGTGGAACAAAAGTCCAATGTTGTGTACCCGGGATTTGCCGGGTTGGAAAAAAGTTTAGACAGATTGAAACTGATCGGAGAATGCAGAGTTTACATCTGCAGGAGTCTCAATCATCCCTGAAAAGTAACGGCACAACTGCCTTTTCCAGCTGACTGTTGTGCACGGGGAAGCGAGTTGTCATGTACTAATGATACAGATTATATAATAGTTGAAACCGCAGATTAAAAAGATTGAAACAAAAGAAACCGTAACACAATCCAGAATGGGAAAACAGACCGGAAAGGAAACGCGTCTAGCGCATATTTTGGGCATCAGAAAATTGATCTACCTTTTGACAACGCGTGTGCTATGTGTGGGGACCGCGAATCCCGAATAACGTATTGCCGGATAAAACGCTGCTGAGGACGGCGGAGGGATCTGGTCGACTAACTAATTAAGAAAAATCCATCACTTGATAGCACATGAGCTTATCGCTAGCATAGCAAATGGACGCACATATCTGAAGTTCTGGCATTTAAAGAGTATGGAAAAACAAAACGTCCGTATGAATGATTGACACAAGCCGCATGCATGCACAATTAATGGGGTTCGTGGGCATACCGTAAAACAAAAGTATTTCAAGTATGTGACTATGAACAAAATTACCGAGAATCAAGCCACATGAACTCTAACTGCCGCGCTTCACCAATCGGGATTAATTAGTCCCACAATACGAGCAATTTCCCAAGCAGTCAGGCAGTTGATGGTTCGGTCGGTCAGTCACTTAGTTAGCTAGCCGGGCCACCTACACACCCGTCCAATCAGTTTGTCTGACTACTACTTGCTTGCCTGCTGTGCTCTGGGGAGGAATGTGAATACGGGATTTGTGGAACAGCAACAACAACAGCAGCAACGGTTCATAGGCAAAGTAGGACCAAAAAAAGAAAATCCTATCAGTCCACAAAAGGACTAAAAACATCAACAGTAACGAGGTGCAGGAAGACAAATCTACTTCAGACAGACAAAGGAAAATTATCAGGATTACAACAATACGCTGGCTCGCACCACGGCACTCTCCCTGTGTTCATTCCACATCATTGTCAATAAAAGTTAATTTTGGTCAAGAAAATATTCTCGCTTATTGACAGATGGGGATCGAGTTGTGAGTTTTACAATCGCATGGAAACGTAGATAGATAGAGAAATGGTTTTGTAAATGAAATTGCTTACAACAAGTTTTGAGTATTTGTTGCCATTCAAACGGCCCAGATGCATTTCATTCGAGAGCAGGGGAGAGAGAGGAAACATTAGAACAATCACTGGATGACATATCGAGATCCCGGTTGTGTGTGCGTGCGCGCGCGCGATTAGCTTCGAGAGCGGGACTCAATGAACGAATAGATTCGTATGACATGCACTAAATGGATTTTTGAGGTGGTTTTTCAAATGGGCACGACATACTTCGCGGCAGACCCGCGTCTACCCCGCAAGTCTGCGGAATTTGTGGGTTTTTCTTTGGGAACTCTAACCGAAGTCTTCGACTCAAAAGTTTGATCCACAAGGCAATGGGGTGTAAATCCAACGCGGGAGCGCGAACGGAGCACCCGTGTGGGAGCTACTGGAGACCTGCCACGCAAGGCCTTTGAACTTCTATTAATTATCTTATTCGCTGGTGCGTTGATTGTCGGCCCGCCTTTCGGGATCGTCCCTTAGCCTCATGCACCCAATGAGACAAGCGGAACGTGGACAGGACAGCACCTTATTGGTTGAGGGCAGCCCAGCCTGGGCCGGCGGTAGCTGTCCAATGAAGTGTGAAGACTTCCCACTCCTAGGTCCATCTAGCCGGGGTCTCTTGATCGGTAAACTGCCCCTCCTTGTTTTTTTTGCTAGAGTGACCTCTCCAGAGGTGGGAGTGAATAGCCAAGGGAAGTCAAAAGGTTCCCAAGCAGCTGTCTTTGTCTGGCCTCTACCCGTTGACCTTTCAGACATGATCGGATCTACGGCTGTGAAAAGCCATTTTGCGTAGCTTGTAGGTTCATGGAGGCACGTAAGCCATCACACCACGTCAAGGTGCAGTCTCGTCGTGATGGGCACGAAATGAGAATGGCAATACACTGTCATTTCGGTCGCGTGAGCAAATCCCTGTGCTGAGTTAGAAAATTTGAGGACAGTCCCTGAAATGGGGAGAGGGGAAACTAAACAAATCGCAGAAGCTCATTTTAGACGGTGAATGTTTGGATTAGTCCATTCGGTTTTTCACAGACACCAGGCATTGTTGATGATCTTGGGTGTGGGTTTCACGCCTTTTCATGTTCATAAAATATTTAATTTGTAACTACATCCGATATTGTGTGCCGAATGAAAGAATCGGAAAATCCGATTTACAGATACGAACCAAATGTTCCTGTAAAGAGAGTCAATCTCAGATCCTGAAATGAAGACATACGGTGGCGGTGGTCAAGCGGTTGAGGTTGTCAACCTGATGCCCGGGAGGACGTGTGTTCGAAAACCAATGTCCATTGTATTCCTAGGCCGAGCCTAAGTGGCTGCAGCCCGGCTTCTTCTTGAAAGTTGCCATACATTTGCATAATACATAAGAGGCAATTAAAAATATATTATTATTATTACTATTATTATTGCTAAGCCCTGATAGACTATTGCTGGCTGGTAAATAATAGATTCATCCAGAAAAAGTGGGGCGATGGGATATGAAGTAGGAAAATAATGCAGTCCGCACAAACAGCATCGTGATCTAGTAGCAAATTGGTAGAGTATACGCGGTGCAAAAGCNAAAGCTTCAGTGGCGTACATGCGTGGGTACGAATCCCAGTGAGGCTGCTGATCTATCCGTCAGTTGAAACACGGTAAAGTGACACAAATCACATAGAACATAAACAGACAGAACCTGATGAACAATGCACTCGGGCATCATATCAGGAAACGAAGTATGAGATAATCAATTGTCTGTAGGAAAACAAAAAGAATAACTGGGAATACCACTGGGAAATGATTCGTGGGGAGATGAAAATTANGACATATATGGAACCATTCAGCTCACTGAATGAACACGGTCGGGATTGCATGATGAAGAAGAAGCAGATCGTCGCATACAAGTACATGACTCGAACGGGTTGGAAAAAGGGTTTTTGATGATCTGGAGAAAATGGGCTGCATAGGCGAAGAATAAGTGATGAAAGAGGAGAATAAGCAACGTTGAGTTATCAATGTAAATACCGGACAAGCATGAGGGAAACGAAACGGGAAAAGTGATCGATACTGTATTTGTACTACAAAATCAGTCGTGTCGACTACCCGATTATAGACGAAAATGATTGTCGGTTATGCTGACGAAGCACATCAAATCATCGGGTCGATGCAAGAAAAAACACAGGTGGTGTGAATACCAAATTATTTGACCTACCTGTGATCATAGGGCATGAAACGTAGCAGCTGCCAAATCTCCTCAGCCAAGCAACAATTAGCATCAACCAAACTGAGTGACGGTAAGAGGACTTCGTCTAGCAAATTAAAAAACGCCTGATATACAACTTCCACCGTGCCAGCATTTGCCGTCTGAGTTGTCGAACCGCGCGGGACAGTGAGAAACGGGGCGAACGGGATGGGGGAGGGTTGTGTGTGAGACAGAATTGCGCATGGATTTAAAAGACAACCCTGATTAGTTCAGTAACAACCACAGGTCAAGCATCAAAGAATGTGAGCTATCCTAACTGGAATGAATCTCATATCAACTGATAAAACAAACCGAAAACAGATGATACGTAAGTACGTAAAGTAAGAGCTCAAATTGTTTTTGTCCATGCGAGATCGATGTGGAATTGTCCAGGCAACACGTAACAAGCGAAAACACAATCAAGAAGACAGAAGCAATAGATGGGTAACACCTGTAAAGGACAAACATTGAATATATATCGCAAAAAAGGCTCATTATTCGGTTTGTCAGAAGATAGAATAACAGTTCCCCCCCCCCCGCCATGAATA